CTGCCATCACTTGCAACATTTGTTGTGCAGAAATTGATGCTGAATTCCACTGTGCCTCTTTTGTGCCATCCTTTGATTCCAGAGGGTCGATGAAAAGGGACGTTGTGGTCATCAGGACTGTGACCTTCAATGGTATTAGTACAAACAGCTGCACAGAATGGACATGTTACCCAGCAACACTTACACAGCTGATCAATGAGGATTTTATCAGGCTTCAGCCTGGATTCTTTCAGCTTATCCAAAGAGAGGCTGCTAGTTTGCTCAATGATGGAATCAAGTCTTTTCTTTATCTCTTCCTTCAGAAATTCAAAATCATTGATGTCACTGAAGTTTTGAGAAGAAATGGTATGAAGAGTTAACTCATCTTTTAGTAAACTAGAAAATTCCTTCAGCCACATGTTCATGTCTCCTCTCTGATTTTGGACTTTCTGTGTTGCAGTAGATAAAGCTTGACTCATCAGTGTGTTGACATCATCAACATTTTTCTTGAGTATATTCACAGTTTCAACTTTGTGGTCTATGAAGATGTATTTCTCTACTTCTTCTGTTATAAAAGCTTCTGTTTGTCTTCTTGGTTTCCTGATGTAGGTGATGAAATCATCAAAGTCTTCTTTCTCAGCGAGTGACTTCAGCACATGTTTCTCCAAGTTCAGCCTGTTCCCATTGAATGCTGGGAAATTACACCTCATCTCTCCAGCCAGACCAATGGCAGTCTTGTTACAGGCAGCCTCAACAGTGGACGCTTTCAGCTTTTCACAGATCAGTTCTGCAAGCACAACAGCAGATGAGCTTCCTTTGCAAAAGCTTCTAAAAACTGTGTAATAATGTGTTTTCTTGCTTTCTAAATAAGTCAGTGGATCGTTGTTAATTCTGAATTTCTTCTGGGAGTCTACAATCCAACACTCTGATTTTGAGAACACATACAGTAAGAGATCAACTGTAAACTCCTTCTTCAAAGCACATTTCGTCTCTTTCTGAAAATTGTCGACTTCTTGTTTTACCTGTTTGGCTACTTCTTGCAAATAAGCTAGTTTGTAGCCTCTTGTAGCTACAAGCTTGCTTGTGATTGGATCAAGTGACTCATGTACAGGTTTTTCAATGAGTGATATGATCTGTTGCTGGTTTTTATATGCATTCTTTAATGGCAATTTAATTCCCAGAACTTTTGTTTGTTTTACATAATCGGAATAATCACCAATGCTGGATATTTTCTTGTATCTGTCATTTTGTTTGCGTTCATTAATGAAACTCTCTTCAAAACCAAGTTCTTGAAGGATAGTAAACTGATCTTCTTCCAGGTTGATGTCTTCTATAGGCTTTATATCAGCTGTTATTTCAGTGACCAAGTCACTCCAAACAGAGCTGAACTGTTTTTGAAGTTCTTCTTCATCATTGGCCTTATCCTTCAGCTGCTGAGCGAGCTCTTTGCTCTTCTGTAGCAGCTTGTCCTCAAACTCTTTCTTCTTATCATCAAGCTTTTCACGAGCCTTCTTCTGTTGAATAACTTCATCCAGTTTTCTTTTCAATGTGCTCACCTGTTCATCATGAAACTCTTTGATTTTGATTTCAAATATGCCTCTCCACTGAGCCAAAATTTCCTTCTCTTTGTCCTCCTCAAAGTAAGTTGTCATTTCCTCTTTGATTATTTCATGTGTTTCATGTGATTCTTTTTTAAGATGACTCACCTCCACCTTGTCAAGATTTCCATTTTCAATTCTGTTATGAAGTTGATTTTCAATGGTCAACATGTTGTTCCTCAGGGCCCAGGTCCAGTTTGCGTACTGGGACTCCAGTTTTCTGTACGCTGCAATTTCAAGTGTGTTTTTAAAACTGAAAACAAAATTTTCATTGAGGAGGGCACTCCACAGGTCCTGAATTTTGTTTTTGAACTGTGACAGAGTGATCCCATCAGACTTTGAAGCTTTAGAGAGGATGGTGTTCTTAACTTCTTGGATGCTCTCACTGTAACCTGGATTAGGAGGAGCCATGGGTGGACTACCCTCCCATAGCTGGGCACAGTATTTCACATCTTTTTGGACATCAAATTCAATGACATCACTGAAGCACTCTGCACTGGAAAACTCCTCTTCAGCTGCTAGTTTGGCCATCTGGTCCAGTTTTTCTTGCAGGCGTCTTTTTCCATCCATGTTTTTCTCTACTGCTGCGACATCTGTAACATTCTGGTGAACAAACACACAACTGGGAGAAAGTTTAACTTTCTTCATCCTCATGAAAGCCTGAACAACAATCTGCAGGATGTCCTGCATCTCAGATGGATTCTCTCCAAAGATGTTGATCAGTGTCAGGTTTCCCAGACCAACAACAAATGTTGCCAGTTCGTTGTCATGGTGAAGAGTGATGTTACCTTCCAGCTCAAGAGCACGCAGTCCTTCAGTGTCCACCACTAGAAGATAGTCAAACTTCAAGTCTTTCTTAATCTCCTCTGATACTTTGAGCAGCTGCATGAAGACACCTTTGGTGCACCTGCCTGCACTCACTGCAAACTGCAATCCAAACATGGTGTTCAGCATTGTTGATTTTCCACTGCTTTGTACGCCCAAAACTGACAACACAAAAAGTCTCTGGTCCCCCAGTTTCTTGATGACTTCCTCTAAAAGACTGGAGATCCATGTTAAAGGTACATGACCTGCATCACCATCCATCAGCTCCATTGGGTGTCCTGATATCATCAGCTGTGCAGCCAGCTCAGGGTATTTAGACCAGTCAGTGTGTCTGCTCTCTCCTTCTATTGCTCTATGAGCTTCATAGATCTGTCCCATTTCTCTGAAGATGTGCTCCAAACCAAAAGTTGCAGACTGCAGTTTTCTGGAAATTTCTTCAAGCTCAGTTTGTTTTATTGACAACATTTCTGATTTATTGCATTTGTTCTTTAAAGCCAGGACCTCAGACCATTTTTTATCATAACTTTGGAGAACTGAGGAAAGCTCATCTGTGGAGAGATCATCTATTAATATCTGAATCCATTTCAGATAATACTGTTTGTCTGTCAGTGGCAAAGATGAGAGACTTTCAATGAACAACTCCATCAGTTTACTGCAGGAAACATCGCATTGTTTCTGGCGTATGTTCATCAGTTGTTGTTGCTTTTTACTTTTCTCCTTTTCAATGTCTCCTGTGAGATGATACAGTTCTTTGTGTATTTTGCACCACTGATGCCACAGATCACCTCGATAAGGAAGGAATTCATCTTTGAGCTTTGAGACATCCATGTTATTCTTTTTAATCAAATCCATTATTATCATAGCAGCAGATTTCCCTCTTTGACAGGCTGGGTCGCTTTCATCCACTCTGATTCCAGAGACCTCAGCCATCATTTCAAGCTGGAAAGAGGGTTTCAAGCTGGATCCATCTACAGATAAAATTTCTCTAATGATTTGTTTCAGTTCTTCAGATACATCTGACTGGCTTCTGTCCTTGAGACCTATGATGTATTGTCCAGTTGTTGTCTTTACAACATCACAGTCATCAACACAGAGACAAATGAGAGGTTTGCGAGATTTAAAAAGACCTGATATAAGTGATTGACTTTCTTCATGCTTTTGCAGAGAAGCAAAAAGAATAATATTGATGGAAGATTTTTCAATCAGTATGTCGCGCCGTTTTTCAGTCAACAGAGCATCACCATGAAGATTACAAAAAGCAATGCAGTCATTGAAGGCATCATTGGGTTTTCCAGCAGGGCAGTACCAGGCGATCTCTGCCACACCATCCATCAGATAGCGAGACTTGGTGCTTCCTGGACAGTTTCTGTGGAAAAAGGTGCTGTGACGGTCGTTGATCAAAGTGTTCATCAGCTGAGATTTAGACACTGACGGAGAGCCCAGGCGGAAAAATGACACCAAGGGTGTCCGAGCTTTATACACTGGAACACTCTTCATAGTGACGATGTTTGAGCCGTCTTCAGTTACCTTCCAGGTTTTTGTTATTTGTTTGAAAGTCCACAGAGGACACTCGATCTCCATTGTGACTGGGTCAGGGACAAGCAAAGGTAAGGCATACTGACACTGAGAGAGCTTTGTAATCATCATCTGTTTAAGGAAGCTGTCTGAGCAGTGAAATACTGCCATCTGAACGTCCATTGGATGCAAATGAGTCTGTTCTGTCTCATGTGTGCCTGCACCCATTCTTAATAAAGCCCCCAAATTACTGAAATCTTCCTCAGTTATGTCAATCACCTGAACAGGTTTTGGATGGTTCCCCTCTGTCTGACTGTCTGATTTTACAGGAATGTATCTGACTCTGTAGTCTAACATCATCAGCCTATGGAGAAACATCTGAGCTAGATCTTTCTCAGATGTCACATGGTGCTGTTTCACAGGTGGATGTATCTGAAGAAAATCATCTGGTGGAAACTTATCTTGAAATTTGTCTTGAAGGTGAAGTCTGCCAAGCAGTATCTCAGTTTGTTTTTGACATGAGCCCTTCTTTTTGATTTCTCCAGAAACCTTCACTGGCTGCAGAAAATAAGCAAATAAATATGTACTCTATGTAAAGAAATTATAATGTTATATAGTGTGGTAAAGTAAAATGTCCTATATGAAAAAAATGGTGACTTTCTTACCTCCTTGTTTCCACTGATATTCTCCTTTACAGTCATCTCCTCATCTGAAGTTCCTACAGTTTAAAGTGGAACCAAAAAGTCAAATCAATGTGTAATGAAAGCAATACAATTCTCTAGTTTTTGCTGCAAAGCTTTCAAACTTGTTCTTTGGGACTTTGTAGTATAGTGGTTAACACGTTTTCCTAACACACAAACAATCTCTGGTTGGAGACAGGGAGGAGAAATAAAAACCTTGGGTGGGGTTGTATCAGGAAGGGCACCCAGTGTGAAATTTCTGCCAAATCAAATATATGAATCCATCTGCTCTGGTGACCTCTTGTAAATAAGGGAGCAGCTGACATAAGCATTTTGTCACCATTTCCATTTTTGGCTTATTCCTATTAATATAAAATCCAATTTTCATTAAAATTTTACCCTTTAGTGGTTGCAGACGGTTGTGGAGGACCTGAGCTTTGATGGCACAAAGCAATTTTAAAGCTTTTGAGCATCGATTAGGGCATGTCCATTGGGCGACAGTGAATTTCAATCCTTTGCCACAGCATAAAAAGTGATTACAACTCAATTATACATTTCCTGAGCTGTCACAAATTTCACACAGTTGATCAGTGTACAAGTCTGAAAATAATTATTTTACAATCCAAGATGTAGGCAACCAGTCACTGCTCGTTTCATTTGCACATTTTCAGTGGTAAAGGCATGATATATTGTTTTAGTGGTAACTAGAAATTGGCCAGGCAAACACCACAGAGGCCTCATACAGGAAATGCCATAATTATGTGTTTACCCCCTAATACTTGTATGTTATTTTGGTTTAAATTTGTTTGAATAGTTAATTTTTTATAACACACAAACAGATGAACTGAATTTCATAATTTGATATTTGTGTACTGTAGTTTACAATAAACCAAAATGAAAGTCATTAAAGTCAATGTTTAGTATGTTTGTTGTGTGTAGTTAGTGTGTTGTGTAGTTGATTGTTTTTTTTGTACGTCAGAACAATGAGGCGACTGCTGAATGTCACAGGTCCTGCTAAAAAGCCACCAAAGGCAGACTACCGTGTAAACGCAGTCTCCAGTTGGAAAACAGGACATGTGATACTGTTAGGATGCCTGGGTTGTTGACCCAGAGTTTTGAGTTTATTATATTATTTATCATTTCTAGTCTTTGGTTTCTTTGTTAGAATTCTGTCTTATGGTTTATGTCTCCGTGTAATCCTTAGTTGCTGTCTCCCCTATCTGCTATATTCCTGTGTCAAGTCAGTGTCTGTGTCTGCCCTGGTCCCACATCTCTGTTCCCTCTGTAGTGCCTGCCTGTGAGTCTGTGTCTGTAAGTTCATTCTATGTTATGTTTCCTGTTTTACTTTGAAAGTCTGTGTCTACTGTAAATGCGTCTGGTTGTGCTTCCTTTGTCTCGTTAGGCCTGATTTGCCCCAGCTGTGTTTCCCTCCTGTTACTCATTCCCTGATTGCTCCCTCTGTGTATTTAAGTCCTGTGTTTCAGTTTGTCAGTGTTGCGATCTACCCATATCTAGCTGTGTGTTCTGTTGGCGTAAGTTCACCTTGTAGTCTCAGTTTTGTTACTTTTTTGAGTTTAGCAATAAATCTGAGTTTGAGTTGCTTTCTGTCTCCGGAGTCTGCACTTTGGGTCCTTTTCCTGTCTGCACACAGCCGTTTCATAACAGATACATGCCCTGCAAGTATCAGGGTATTGATGTTCTCCTTTATCTTCGTGGACAGAAATAATTTTTTGGAGTGGAACAAATAATTTGTGTGGCATCTTATTTGATGCAGAACACCTGATTGTTCTGTGAATAGTTTGAAATGCTTATAAAAAAAATCCCGGCCTTGGATGCATTTTTAGGTAAATAGCTGCATATAGCTTTGTTTATTGCACAACTGTTACTAACTCAATTACTTTTTTGAAGAAGTAACAACTATAACTAATTACTTTTTCAAAGTAACTTGCCCAACACTGAAACAAACTGAATATTTGCTATCCTCGCTTGGAAAAAAAGGGGCGCAGCACTAATACTGATCAAAACACGAATAAGCTAATGTGTTTTGTGTCTCCATGATCATACCAAAATGACTGGTAATATTACAATTTAAGCCCATCTAGCTCCCAGACATCAATGTGGCAGTTAAGACACATGAGAGAAGCCTGACGAAGAATCATTATGTTCTTCCAAACGCATCTGGACGTAGAGAGGAGGCAAGTATCTCAAAGGAAAGAATGAAAAGAAGTGGTATGTATGAAGAGGGTCTGATAGATGACTTTATGCTCAGTTAATGCATAACTACAACAATGTGAATTTGTCACTGGGGTGAAACATCCTCAGAAACAAATAACTCTAATTTGTGTGTAGACATAGGCAGATGGGTAACCATTATTTAAACAAACACCACTACACCTCTGCGTTTAATATTTTCTCGACAGAAACCCTCACAACTTTTGCACAAATCTATCAAATGAATAAAATTTTGGTTACAAGGACAATTCTAAAGATAAATGTCACCGAATTCATTGTATCTAATCAAATTAAGCTTCACAGGTTAGCCCACTGCTGAGTGCAAGAGTTTGTTTTAAGAACTGACAGGCAGGTACCTCTTTCGTTTGTTGAGTTTTTCCTTTCTTCTCTGTGGGATTTGTCCTCCAGGTGTCCTTCTTGGTCTTTATCTTCAGCACACATCAGTCCAGTGTAGCTTTGTGGATCATTTTCAGAGACCATGACATTTATTTTTTCTAACAAATTTGCTACATCTTTTTCATCCATCATACTTCTGATACATGTGTGGAACCTTTTTTCATTAAACTCTATGTTAGTTTTCAGCTCCTTTAATGCACTTTCACATGTTTCACCTGGTTCGTGAGTTACCACTGTGATTAAATAGCAAAGTGCTCCAATCCCAAATGTTCTCTCTAACCACTGCACTCCTGAGCTGTACTGGCTGCTATGCAGAGTGTTGGGTAATAGTAAGACAAAGGCATGAACTCCCTGATTTAAAGGGATTTTCTTTGTTTGTAGACCGAGCATGTTAATGACATAGACGTGTCGACCACACAGATTATACAGATTGGAGGAAAATGGTTCCACATTTGTTTGGTCGTCATGGTCAAGGAAAATGTTCTTTGGTCCGATCTCAGTGGAATCTGGGTCACCAATTAGTACAAGTGTGAGATTAGGAGCCACTAAAGAAAAAGAACAACATGAACATGTTACAATACAGAAACCATTAAAATCACAGTCTGAGTATGATTTTACTGAACAGTAACTAAATATACAAAGAAATTAAAGTTACATTTAACTAGTTTAATAATTTTTCATTGTCTCTAAACTAAAATCAGATGCATACTCTAAATAGGTCTGACTATAACACTATAATATGATCACATTACTTCTCTCATTGATGGGAGGTGTTTCAGACGTGTTTTCAGACTCTCCTCCTGTGCTGTCGTTGTTCTGCTCTGCAGCTGCGTTATCTTGATCCTCCATCTCATCAGCTTCTCATTTTACTGAAGGTCTGTGTATTATATATGCATGCAGTTTATCACAAAGTACAAAAAGACAACTATTTATTTGTCCCCTGTGTGCAGCATAAAATCACTACACTTTATCAGGTACAAACATGGACCTGCTAATTAATAACATGACAGCAACTCAAAACATTCAGGCATGTAGACATGGTCAGAATGACCTGCTGAAGTTCAAACTGAGCCACAGAATTGATAAGAAAACTCATTTATTTCATTTCGAATGTGGCGTGATCTACTGGGATTTTCCATGATTTTCTCCAGTATTTACAGAGAATTCAATTCTGTTCAATTTTATTTACATAGTGCAAAATCACAACAGCAGTTGACTCAAACTGCTTATGGTCCAAAAAATTTAAAATATCATAGCAGCATTTCTCTGGGTGATAACCACTCGTGTCAGAAGAAAATGGGTAGACCACTATAAGCTGATAGGAAGACTCAATTCAAGATATTTATCTCAATTGATTTGTCTGTGAAGGTTCTCAGTCATCCAGGTCATCGTAGTCAAAGGAGCTTGCAGAGAAAAGCGTCTGGACTTCTTTAAGTTGCTTGAAGACGTTTCACCTCTCATCTGAGAAGCTTCTTCAGTTCTAAGGTCAAATGGCAGAGAGTCCCAGATTTAAACCTAGGTGATTAGAGGATCATCAGGGGGTCCTTTTGTCCCTCTTTGGGGGGAAACTCCCACTCTTTTAATTCTATGTTGTTGTACTTTTTCAACATGTTTAAAATAAAGATTCAATCAATCAATCATATATTTGTAGTGTCTGTTTTGTAAGGAGGATTAACAAAAAGTATTAAACATCTCCCATGATAATCCAATAACACTGGTGTTTTCTTCATGTTGAATGAGTACTTTTAATTTTGAAACTTTAAAAATGATTTTTTAATGCATTTTCTTAATTGTACAGTTTATTTGTAGTATAATGTGGTAAATATTGCGATCACTAAGAAATATGGGCGCTAAAAACAATAAGAGATTAAATGTAATATCAGAGAGGGAGATGTTGCTTATCTAGCTGTAAAAGTGAGGGAGGTCATTGTTATGTTGCTGCATGTAGAAATGCAACATAAGAGTACAAATCTGCAACTTAGTTATAAAACAGCATGTTGTACCTGGTGTAACAGGTACCTGAAAATGGTATTGCTGCAGGGTAAACCACAGTATAATTATTAACTGGAGTAGATCTCCCTTTCTAGAGATAGTGCTGACGAACCCTCACTGAAAACAAATAAAGCGAATATGGGAGTGTAACGGTACGGCAAACATACAGACAAGGAAAAACCAACAGGTTTCTGTCCTAGCTAAGTACTGCAACACTATGTGCTGGCATAACAACTTCAGTGCTCCTTGTCCGTGGAGTTGGAGATTAACATCTAATTTGTTCATTTAACATTTCTCTTTAGTGCTGAACATCATTTTCATCCTCTTTAAGGTAAATGCTAAATTTTCCTTGACAAGGTAACCCAGACCCAGACCTTCACTTTAGGGATCAGCTGTTAATTTTTTCCTTTAATTTGCTACCCATCATACTCACACAGGCACAGATTTTACCAGGTATTTGCACACACACACACACACACACACACACACACACACACACA